ACCTAAAAAATCCACTGCGCAGGCTCGAAGGGTTAATGACCTTTCCCAAATCTTCGCTCGCAAAGACTGGCCATTATAATTAAGGAAAGATGTAAAGGCTTGGGAGATTAAGAAAATCACTATGTCTGTTCTAGCTGACGAGTAGGTAGGTGTATTGAATTAGGCAGTGAGCCCAGTGTGGCACAAAGAGGTATGAACTTGCACAGAGAGCAGTTCCCTACTGCAGAACTGAACCTAACAGCCCAGGCTCAGCCCAGTGGGCAGAGTGGGAGCCCTGGCTGTTCTCCATGGGAGCTGCTGTCTGCTTCACTGCTACGGGACAGTTAGATCTGTGGGAGAGTGATGTGCTGTGAGAAGGAATTTGGGGCTTTTGACCATTCTGGCAGTTAATAACAGTTGAGAGTCAGCCTTCAAATCTTTCTGTATTTTACTGGCTCTTCTGGTTTTATATATTGCTGTGTAACTCTGCATTTGTTTTCCCAGTTTGACTGCCTTATGTGTGTATTCTTGAGTTCACTTGTCAGTTTTTTGAGTGGAGAGAAAACATGTGTTAAGAGGCAAGCAGGGTGTTTATGTTCTAGTGTGCACACTCAGTGACTTGCATACTTATGTGCTTTGTTTTATTTTGACACAAAAGCATACAAACATACAATTTTTGTTACTGTTGTCGTCAGATATGCAAGTTACGTGAGCAATTGCAAATACCCGGTTTCATTTAAAACAACCATTAGTCTCTGCTTAGCCTTTTAATGGATTACATTAAGCAGGAACTGCAAAGTGAAACTTCAGACGTTATTTTTGTGTATATAATTGCCCCACCACCAACCTCAGAAGAGATCTGTTAATGTAGTGCAACTGCAAGCTCGTGAGGAAGCACTTCCTTCAGAGCAGAGGCAGCAGCGTTTCATTATTCTTTGTGCACAAAAGGCTTTGCTGCATGAATTCACATCAGCTGATTTTCGAGAAGCCCTGAAATGTGTTCTCGTGTATCGATGAGGCTAACAGAGCCCTTAGTCTGTACACAGATATGTGTGGTGCATGTTGGATACTGAGACCTCACCAGAAATTAATTTCTAGTTGAGAGTATATTGCAGATTACGTTGCAGAGTCGGTAGGTGTTTGAGTGGTGCGTATCACCCAAGATGTGTATCAGTCTTCCTGCAGTTGCCACACAAAGTGCTATGTTGCCAACATGACAGTGTTTTGCTTATCAGCTAATGGTGAGCATAGGGATGACATCATTAGTGGCCAATGAGACACTCCAGTCCTTCCAGGCAGCTGCGAACACTCCCTTGTTGTTGAGGCACACGCTGATTCTGTGCTTCCATTTGTATCCGTGCAACACAGAGATTAGTACTTCTGCACAAGCAGTTATGATAATTCTGTATCAGGGAAGCTGAAACGTTGGTAGATACATTATGATTGCATCCAAGTATGGCTACAGCAAAACATATTGTTGGGCTGCTCTCTGGCCTCAATTTATTTGAAAAGATGAGGCACTCCTTGCATGACTCTATTTAGTGCTGATCCCTGCATTGTTTTGTTGCATGCGTTATTGCTTTCTTTCCACAATTTCTGTGTTGTGCACTCAACTGGCAAATGCTGGCAACAGGATGAGCAGCAGAAGCAGGCTGCTGGAATGAAGATATAAATATTACTCAATGATTAGAAAAATGAGAAAGTTGAGTCATTCTGTCGTTCTAGAGGTAGTGTTTTATGTTTGTAAAAGTTATGGAGTACTAATGGTGTGATTAGGAAGCTTAGAGAAAAAGCAGGAAACACCGAAAAGAAAGAATGAAACTTAGAATTTGTCTGAAAAGCTTGAAGTAAGTGAAGCAGTCAATGTAGTCACATATTACCGTAGTAGCAGTTCAAAAGTGTCCCCACTGTTTATAGAATGTTGCATGTGATAGTTAAAAGCTATCGGTGAGAGGAGGTGCATGATTCAGAGGCTAGTGAACTATGTCTGCTCCTGACACAGATATTTGGGGTTTGGAGGAGTAGTCTGTCAGTGTGCCTCAGCTGACAGGTAGCAGCTAGGTGTGTGCATGCATGTGTATGTGTGCTCATGGCCTGTTGTGGACACAAGATGAAGTGGCAGCCTGGACTTTAGTGGAAGAAATCATACTTCTCTCTAAATGGTTTTCACCTCAGAGCTGCAGCTGATGAAATCCCAATTAGCCTACCACAGCTGAAGCACAAAAGCTCATTACACTTGTGGTAATTCACTCAAAGACATCTGAGCCCACAGGTGCATCTTGTGCCTCTTTTTATACATGTTGCACTGACTTTCTCTCTTGTCTGTTCAAGAGTTCTGTAGTAGAGGCTTGGTGGCCAAATGGACATGGAAAGCAAACTGGATACAACATGAAAACAACTTTTATCATGGAGACAGGATACCAGATTGAGAAATTTTCAAAGGTGAGCCCTTCTGCTTAATTACATCTGGCATTGCACTGTTGCTGGTAGGACATCCACTCTACACAGCAGGTATCTAGAGCTCTTTAATATTTTATTGGATTGTAATATGCATGTGAAAATGCTAATGAGAAATAAGATTTTTTTTCATGTCACAATGTATGGTTACCTGTTACCTGTTTTCTGGTAGTCTTAGCTTGTATGGATGCTTACTTGTATTGAGACTGGAAGATGGCTTACAGTTAGATGGAAATCTCAGAAAAGAGATATACTTAATATACTGTGCTGGTGGCTTTGAAAAATCGTTTTAGATTTCTGTAGATTATGTGAAAGGTTTATTACTGAGATTTTTCTTGTTAATTCAGTTTTTAAAAAAGTTACGCGATAGACACAGTCCTAAAAGCTTAACATACATTCATTTATTAGAATGTTGATAGATGTGCTTCAGGTTTAAGAAGAGGTAGCATCTTAAATATATCCATGAAGGTAATTTTGGGGGATATTTACATTGGGGTTCCTGTAACACACTGGCTGTTTAATTATCTGTTTGGTTTTGCTAAGAACCCTAGAGAGGTAATTTCCACTTGTCCATTAAAAAGAAGAATCATAGAGATTAGGCTGGGCTCCTTATGCCATCAATATGTGGAAATAACCAAGTAAATTTATGCATTTATTAGGTGGTTCTGATGTATATTGCTTCACTAAAAATTAGTCTGGTCATGAGGCATCTAAAACTGTTATTTGCCATAACATTTGTTCATGTGAAAAAACCCTATGAAAAAGCAATAGCTTCGGGAGTCCTGGTCATTATAGGACTAGCCCTTAGTTTGATTATGAAGTCATAATAATAATTCTTTGCTATTATTAGTGATTTAATTTTGAAACAATTAAAAAACCCACACCAAGTAAACACATTATATTATGCTTGGAAAAACTAGTTATGGGAAATACAGCTATAAAGCCTATAGAAAGGAAAATTCTGTTGTTACTGTGTGAAAAATGCACAATGACAGGAAAGCTAATCAGTTCCATTTGTGTGGTTGTGTCAGAATACTTCATAGAGCTCTGTGGCATGTGATCTTAGGGACTTCAAGGTCTTCAAAAGATATTTAGAAGCCTGTTCTTTTTTTCTCCTTAAGGGGAAAGAGGGGGAAAGAAAGCAAATGCACCACACAGTGGGCATTATAAATCAACCAGCCTTTAAAGCTTTATATTGTTACGTCTAGTCTTCCTTCATGTATTTTGTGAATCTCTGTCTTGGATTCTGACAGGGGCACCAGCACACCATCACCCCCACCCAGAGCTGTATGAGTGGAAAAAGGCTCTGTATGCAGTTTTCTCATGTTCTAGCACAATTTTCTCTTATGTCAGCAGGACTAAATAGCAACACTCATATGGCTTAACAAGAACTTTGAGTAGTTCAGGAGATACAAACAGGGATTAATGTTCCTGAAAGTTGTTCTGTTATCGGTTCTGTTGTCTATCTAGTACAGACTGTATTCAGGTGAAATACATTACCCACTCCCACCTTTTTTTTTAAGAAAAAAAATTATTGGTGAGACGTTTCACAAGTGGTTTGTCTCCATATGAGCATCTACTTTACTTTGGACAGGCAAAAACCTAAGGATGAGAATTGTACATGTGAGAAAACACAGCTTGATCTTATGTCAGATTTGGCTACTCTTAACTTGAACTACTCTCTGGATTCTGACATGTTAGAGTAGTCTTCAAAACATTAACTAATCCTTCAGGAATATTTCTGGGTGGTCTTCCAGTATGTACTTTCAGGAGCTCTATAGAGCTCTAACCAGCTGTGCTGGGAACTTCTTTGGCTGAGGGAAGTACTTACTCATTCCTGTTCAGAGTAGCAGAAAACCAAAACAGAAGAAAGCCAATATCCAAGATGGGATTGGTTTTGGTTTTGGTTTTCCATTTCAGTATTTTGGTTTAGAGTTTGTTTCTCAGGATAATGTGAAACAAAGTCACAGCCAGAAGTTATCTCAGAGTGAAATTGATTGTCTTGAGTGAGGGTCTATCCAGTCCTATTTGCTATTGATAAGTTGCTTGCCATGCCTACATCAAGGAATTTATTACCTCTTTCATTGCCTCCATTTGTTTGCTTTTCAGTTCTGTTTCCCCATCTTTCTGTATGCTTATTTCTTTAGCACTCTACTATGAGTTTTTTGTTTCATTAGGCTATTTTAGTACTTGAAAGATCTCAGCCTCTAGCTGTCTTTCCCTCCATCCCTTTACACCCTCTTTTCCCCCCAGGCCTTTTAGTATGACTTGCAGAAGTCTTTCCTTTCGGCTTTGTAGTTTTCACACCGCTTTCATGCTGCATGCTAATTTGTTAGGTCACTGGGGCATTCTGTGATCTTATTTCAGCTCTAGGCATCTTCATCCTTATTACTTTTCCTACTGCTAAATCTGGGAATGCCAAATGTGATCCACAGGTCACTTAGCTGTGTACAAAGCCTTTGTATGTGACTTAAAAAGACAGGTATCTCTTTCTTAATTATGCACAGAACCAGCTGACTGATCTGTGGCGGCTAGAGAGCCTCTTCAGTGTGCTCCAAGACTGGGAGAAATGTTCAGCCCTCAGGCAGCAAGCTCTATCAGACAGATTTCAAGGTGGCCAAGGTTTTGGTAGCCAGAAAGGCATGTAACTAAGCATACCAGATGCTAGTTGTCTCCCCTTGCCCTTCTTTTACCCCACGAGGCAGAAGGAAGCTGCTGTAGGAACAGGAAGATGGGCTGTGTTACCAGATGGGCCCCTGGGGAGTAATGGAGTTGGAAACACAAAGGCACTGAACCTTGGAAGTCTGGGAATGTGAGCTGAGGCTAAGGAGCTTTTCCTCTTGCTCTTGCTGTATGGGTGGTCCTGGCTGAGTGTTTCAGCCTCTTAGGTTGCCTCGGATTCAACCAGTTCCACTTGAACATGAATAAAGCGATATCACATTACTTCTGTTAGTAATATAAATACTCTATTACAAATGCACTCTGAGACAGTCACAACCTGCCTGATGACATCGATGAAGAGGACGTCCCAAATACTTTTGGAGCCCTTACTGTAAATCCCATTCCACTTTGTGCAGTAAAAAAGAGCCACAATAGAGACTGAGTTTTTCTCCAAGTAACTGAATTCACTGAGGAAGGTAATTTTTGTAATGGTTATTTTTTTTAATTCAACTTCTCATGTTAAAATAAGTCTGCAAAATTCTAGGATTGGATGTAAGACTCTTGTCCTAAAGCTAAGTTCATCATTTTGACCTATATTCAACCAACCCAGTGAGCAATGGGATTGCAGCAGAAAAAAGGGAGGGCACACTGTCCTCAGTGCACATATGTGCACAGAGATATTGGACTGGGAATCTGAAATGTTCTCAGTGGCCTGACTTAGTAGTTTTTCTCTAGCTGAGAGTTTCTTTAGTGATATGGATGCTGAGTCCCACTTGCCAATAATGCACTGTTGTCCCTGGGCAAGACTGTAAAACTGCAGGACTTGGGCCAATCCAGTTTTTTTAATTCATTCAGTTTCTATCTTTTGGTCTCTGCCATAATGCAGAGACCAATTTGGTTCAATTTGAGGTCAGTGTTCTGCAGCCTCCACTCATGCATCTGGTTTGTCATATGCATTGTCTCTGTCCAGATGTTTGGTTAATAATTGTTCAGTTGACTTAGAAGCACCAAAGAGGAAGCAAATAAGTGGTAATTTTCTTTTACTTCCCTACCTCTGGAAATAGTTTGCTGTCTATATGTGTGATTTTTTGATAAAATTAAAGGTTAGAAAATGCAGTCCCATAGTGGGATTAGTAATTTTCCCAGCCTTGTTTCGTCTGTGAAATAAAGAAATAAGTTTCGTCTTAAAGACGGGTATATCCCTTGCACTTAACTAGGTTAATTTTAGCCTGATTTACTGACAGATACTTGCCTCAACTTCAGCTTGTGGCAGAGAGGGAACAGGCTGTACTTTACTAGCTGACCTTTTGAAAAGGTAAAGCAAATAGTCATCTGAGGGAGGAGTGGTTGCTATCTTAGGGGTAGTCTAGAAAAAATGAGGTTCTTGCCTTCCTGACTCACACCAACAAACCTGTTGCTTGGTGTGAGTTGGCTGAAATTCGCTATTGGCTTTCCTCCACTTTATTTACTTTATTTAATTTCCCAGTTATCTCCCTAATAGGAGGCTTTTCTCAGTTGTGGAAATGGATTTTATTTCTTTTAAAACTATTTTTTCCTTTTTAGCAATTGCGGAGAAGGTTTGGGTTTTTTTGGTTCAGACTTTTCATTTGTCCCAAAAGAGCAACAGGTACAATGAAGAAAAAGAGTTTTCTTTCTGGCTTGGATAAGTTGAACTGGAACAAGGATGCAGGAAAAAAAGAAGTTTCAAGCCTCCCTGAACAGGATATTTTCTGTAACACTTTGCAGGTGCACAGAAGCAAGCATGGCAGCTGCTCTTCATCTGCTCCATGGCAGATGGGGAAGACACCTGTACAAATAAGGGGACAGAGCAAAGTACTATTGCAGTGAACCAAGTGCTCTCTCATGACTGTAGAATTGACTGTTTATGTCAGTGCAATCAGGATACCCCTTAGAGCAGCATTGTAGCTTTGACTGAAGTAAGGTCCCAGAATAAATATGGAATGATTTCCTAAGAACTTTTATTCCACCTGCAACGGGACAAAGGAATGTTTTCTTGTTTCAGCATCTACAGTACACAGTGTCATATATTAGGCTGAAGGAGCAGCTGTAAAAGTTTGGCTTCTGCTTGAGATGTGCTTTTATCTGGAATGGTCTTTAATACCTTACACGAAGTTAGTGGTTATTTAGCTGAAGTGGTCTCTTTGAAACCATATTGCTGACCTTGCTGTTCAAAAGCAGCTGTGAAGGCCAGAGGGCCCTTCACTTGGGAACCGTGATTGTGTTTGCATGCATACCTTTTTAATAGGTGTAGCAATTAAAAAGATATCATTTCAGGGCAGTAAAAGAGTAAGATTTTGCTTTTACTAGGTGAACCTGAAGATAGGCGTTTAGGGGCAGGACTTACAACTGAGCTACTGGATCATCCTTCTGTGAGGAGCATATTGCAGATTGAATGGTGTCTCTGATCTAGTGCAACCACTGTATTCCTCCCACTGGTCATCAGCTGGAATTTTAACTGAATTCTGCAGCAAGCAAACCTGCATCTGTCTCTTGCTTACATACATGTGTGCATATGCACAGTCATTTGCTCATGCTTTCTCTCTCTCTTAATATGATAGTAACTTTAAAAAGTGAACAGGTTTATTGGAAGAATTATTTTCAGTCCTGCTACAGTGTGTTTTAAGCAAGTAGGAGTTTAGAGATAAGACCATGTCTTTTGACTCCTTGACAAATTCTATGCTGTTAGTGTTCAGTTCAATTCTTTTTGTAATGGTTTTCTGTATTAATTTTGTTTTAATTCATTTTTGTCAGCTTTAAATCTAAGTTTCATGTCTTCACAGGCTTATTTTCGGACAGTAGAACTCGTTCAGGAGCCTATTCCTGGCTCACCAGGTCTGAGTTTCTACTTCAGAATCAATGGCCGACCCATTTTTCTGAAGGGCTCGAACTGGATTCCTGCAGATTCTTTCCAGGACAGGGTGACCTATGACACGTAAGCCACATTTGATGTTCTCTAAGGATAAAGGATCATGTTTTCCTCCTCCTGATTCTCTATACACCTTTATGAAAGGTTGGCTTTAGTGGGTGGAACTGCTTTGAAGGTAGTACACTAATTATTGGGGGCTGGAGGCTTCAGAATTAGGGCTTTATTAACATGAATAGATTGGAGTGTCAAGGCATGTAAGTGAGATTACTGATGGGAAGGTGATTTTTTTGTAGTTCATAGGTTACTGGCCTTTTGGGTATTTTTATGGAGACTATACTGTACTTTGACTAAGCTTTGCTCTGGGTAGTTGGAGAATCAGGACAACAGAGCATGCTGCAATGTGCATTCATATGCAATTTAGAGGCTGCCAGTATGATTTAAGGACAAATGTCTGGAGCCTGAAACCCTTAAAATGAGATTCAGGGTCTCGGTCTTTCTCCTCACCCTCTCATTCCACTGTTCTCACTATGCATTGTGGAACTCACAAAGAGAATATACTTTTCTGATTGTGTTTAAAAGAGAATATGAATTCAAGTGATTGACATACAAAGCAAGTAATATCTAAGAAGAAAATGAACAATATGATTAATAAAATAGAGTATTTCTAAATCTAGTCATGCCAAAACTTCTGTAAAAGCACTTACTCACCTGTGTCACTCCATCTATTCTGTAAGTATTAACAGGAACAAGCAACTTTTTCTGCACAAAAAATTACTTTTTGAGAGCTCTGTCAAGGCATGCAGGCTTAGAAACCAGAGTATTTTGATAATTTCTGTCAAAGTTATAAGTCTTAGTTTGCCTGCTAATGATTTAGGTTTTGTGATTTTGTTTGGCCTTTTTGTTTGTTTTTTTTTGTAGGGGTATTTGTTTCTTTGTTTGTTTGTATAACCTTAGAAACTCCTAAGTGATACAGTTTCACAAAACTTGTATTTTACAGATTAAGGCTACTCTTGAAGTCTGCAGCAGATGCTAACATGAATGCACTTCGGGTTTGGGGAGGAGGAGTATATGAACAAGATGAATTTTACGATATTTGTGATGAAATAGGAATAATGGTAAAAGCAATAAATGCAGAACACTTATTTAAAAACTGACAAGAACCTGTAAATGAAAATTCATTTTAAATGAACAAAAATAAGAGAATTAATACATGCATTCTAACCATCTTTCCAAAGGATATTGTAAAGTATCAACCCGAGAAGTTAGATCAACCTGTTTTTTTGTTTGGTTGGCTGGTTGGGTTTTTTAATTTCTTTTTAATTTGAATGGTTTCTGATTAAAAAGGCTGTCTGTTGAATCTAGAAGTGATATTTTGGAGACTTTACAGAAGTCTGTAGAAGTTAGCCATGCTTTTCTCAGTTGTGGAAATGGATTTTATTTCTTTTAAAACTATTTTTTCCTTTATAGCAATTGCTGAAAAGGTGTGGGGTTTTTTGGTTCAAACTTTTCATTTGTCCCAAAGTCAAACATGGAAGGCTTCATCCAGACGGCCATTTTGAACAAGCTACATTTGACTATAAATGTAGCAGTAAGGGGAACACCTATTGCAATCACTAGACGAGTACCTTCAATTATATGAGCTTGGAGACACGTATTAATAAGTTTTGATGAAATAGCAACTAGATGAATGAAGACCAAATTGCATCTGTTATTAAAAATCCTGGCAAATGTGTTTGGTGTTGCTCTGCAGCATAAAAAGCAGGGAAACAGAACTCATACTTTGCTGCCTTCCATACGTGCTTGGGGAAAAAAAAAGTTACATCTATTTTAGTCATCTGAATGAGTGTCCTGATTTTCAAGGCTTCTGAAGACTTACAGTTCTTTCATTTTTTACACTAGGCACCTTAAGTAGGCCACTTAGATCTGTGCTTATACAGTGCTCAATACAAGATTTAGATCCTATTTAACAGCCAAAATAGCAAGTAGATGCAGAAAATCAGATCCTTATTCTGGAGGGGGTGGTGATGGAGGTTTTTGGTTTTGTTTCTTCTGATGGTCTTGCAAAGGCTTTAAAGTGCCTTGGTGTCAAACTGTGCTTAAGGAAAGCCAGTGATAGCTCACTGAGGGAAATAGTGAGAGAAAGTTTCTTTCAACAGAGAGTTTTGACTCCACACAATCAGTCACTAAAGGATTATGAGTACTCTTTGGCAATAGCTTTGCTTTTGTGTACAGTGTTAGGATTTTAACAGTTACTAATAGATCCATTACCCCCCACTGTCTTGTGCCCTATCTTCAGGTTTTTTAGGGAATGTATGCTGAAAAGAGCCATGGAAAAGCACGTTCTCACTGCAATCAAAATGCAATTACATGAGGAACTGGTCTGTCTCTCTCTGTTATAGTATGGTGTTCAGAAAAGTGTAGTCTCCTACAGACTCCTTTGGGTTAATGTGCTCCTCGTAGAGGCCTTTCCATTAACATTTGAGATAGACTAGCAGGAGTCTCAAAGTTACAGCAGTTTAATAAACAGAACAGGTAAACAAAAAATCTTAACCATCTCACTGGGCTTCTTTCCTTCCCCCTTTTTTTTGTAATTCTTCTCCTTCAAGGTACAAATGGAGTTTATTGTTGTTGAATTGAAAGGCTTGTTGTTCTCAATGATATCTACTTGATTGTTCTTTGAAGAGAAAAATCACTGTGTTTTTAGAGGATCTAGTTTGTTTCTGCCCCTCTTACTGTGTAAGATTTGCTATTTTTTGGGTTCATTTTGTGTGGAAGTGTTTTCTTAATGAGTACACTGACATCGATTAAGTGTGCTCGATACCACGCTGGAAGAATTACTGTCTCTTCTCATTAAGTAATGGGGATTTGGTGTTACACCTGAAAAGTAGTAATACAGAATTGTTCTGTTCAGCTGCAAGTTGCCCCATGTTCATGTTTCTAATTATTCTTTTGAAACTTACTGAACTCCTCCTGCTGAGCAGTATTGCACTCCTCAGTGTAGGCTGTCAGGATCTGATTCCTCTGATATTGAGGACAACCACAGTGGAGTGTGCACATACTGAACCTCAAGGAGGACATGACTGTCTTGGTGGTGCTTTCCAAGAATAACAAATAAAACATTTAAGTTTAATTTTTTAAAATAAATAACTTCTGTCTGAACCGGATTGTGCATCCCAATAAGTGTATATTTTTCAATTATATAAAATAATTTGCTAATGGATTTTTTTTAATCTTTTCTTTTCCCTGTAGATTTGGCAGGATTTTATGTTTGCCTGTGCACTTTATCCAACTGACCAGAATTATTTAGCATCTGTAAGAGCAGAAGTTCTTCATCAGGTATTTTGTCCATGTGTCAAAGTTCTATTTCCCATTATCTATTTTTGATTGACCAACTGTATAAATTAGCTTTTCAGAAGTGGTTTTTTGGAAGTGTTTATTAGTGTACCTTTATGTAGCAGTATATACATAAAACATAACCTTGGTAAATCTTCTACTACTTACAGGAGCAGTCAGTCAAGCAGACTGTACAGAATTTACCCTTCACATGTGTCTAAGTAGATGAGGATGGAGGTACACATGTGCATATGGTAGATATATGTCAGCATGTTAGAAGTTTGCCTTTCTGAAAGTGTATGTTACAAAAGTTTGAGCCTAGTGGCAAGCTGAGGGAATAGTGAACAGTGCAGCTAAAAATAGGAATTGTAGGCTAAGTATATGTAATATGCGTGTGAACTTGTAATTCAAGTAGTAACAAAGTGATTTTTAAAAAGAAAAAATTTTGAAGATAAGTAATTTTGCTTGACTCCTGAAACTGTAAATTGTATTTCAGGTGCGACGTTTAAAATCTCATCCATCAATTATTCTATGGAGTGGTAACAATGAAAATGAAGCAGCAATTTCAACCAACTGGTTCTCCATACCTCATGCCGAAAGAGAGAGATATATCAGAGACTACCTGATGCTTTATGTGAAGAACATACGAGAGATAGTTCTTAATGTAAGTGATCTCAAGAAACTGTAGGGGAATATGCCTTGGCAAATGGTTTTAAGTTGGGATTTTCTTTTTTAATCCTTTTGAGAAATTAAACCCAGCACATTATTGAGAAATTGCCTTTTCCAAGCTCTTCTAAACAACTCTCTAAACTTAAGGGTTATTCTCAGAGTAAAGCAATACAAAAAATTACTTATACCTTTAGCATTTTGTGATATGTAAAGGAAGACCTGAAAATGTAGTGGATCTTGCTTCTTTTTTCCTTCTGATTTTTTAATACGTCCACAAATGCCTTCACTGCCAGTGGACACAAATCAACTTGCCCATTAATTAATTAATCTAGATGATCAGGTTTCCTTTTTGCTGATTTTGTTGAAGGATACTGTAAGAAGCATCTAACAACCCTCTGGTCTTTTAATAGCAGTTGAAGAAATCCATAAAGATGTCATTTTTTCAGTGTGCTCTTCCAGTATTTGACTGAAGTTTTTTGGCTTAAGCAGGTTAAGCAAAAGTGATGCTAAACATTGTCCCCATGCTGATGTCCTCATTATATTGTGTGTTTTTGAAAGAACAGAATAGTGGTCTTCTACAGTACATGAAGGCAAAAGAAAATACTTTGACGTAGAACTAAAACTGTGAGCATGCATTCCACAAACATGTGGAATCTGTAAAGTCTACTGCAGTTTGGTACTACCCATTTTGCACAGCTTTTCTAGTTTTATTTCTCCTCCTAGAAGTATTGCAGTTCTTTATTAGTTAATGGAATCTACTTTTACCTCTTTTTTTGTGTATGTAGAGTGAAATTGATTGAAAAGTCCCAATATAGGGATTGACAAACAATTCTTGAACCGTAGGGAATTGTAAATTTTCCTGTTAGCTAAGAGACAAAATGCTCTAAAAATTTCGTCCGGTTAGAACTTTCTGCTTCAACAAGAGTATGAGTTTTTATTTACCTAAAAATGCTAGTGGCCTTTTCCTACCTACTTATCCCATGTATAGTATGATCTTACTGACTCCAGGGTACGATAATTTTAGTCTAATTTCTATCCTATTCACAATGAGATGCATTTAATATTATAAGGCTCATGACCTGACATTTCCTTTTGCTAAGACATACACTCAGTGACAGCAGTATTATTGCTTGTCATTGGAGGCTACTGGCATTGTCAGTGTAGTTGTACTCTGAGAATTTAGAACATCTTTCTACAGGAAAAGATTCGAGGAAGCAACAAAAATGAAACCAGGTTTGAAAGAACCTGCTGAAAAGGATCCTGCTTTGAGGGCAGTTTTTCATTCTAAATGGTAATAGTGTCTTATATTCCTGCTTAATGTGTTGATTCTAGATTTCTATACTGAGCTATTTGTAGAGGTATGCTGTGCTATTTCTGTGATTAGCTACATGAGTTAGATGGCCAATGCATGTGCAGCAAAGTGAGGTGTTGTGACTTGATACTGGGTTTTAGTTACAGTTTACTTGTGCAGCATTGCCATCCCATATGGACCCTCTTTTATTTTAAATCCATAGAATAACTATTTTCAGTGCCAGAAGGAACCATACAGTGAAATAACTTCAGGTCCTCTATAATACAAGCCAGCTGAGGAAACCTGTAATTACTAGCAATAGTGGACTGTATAGTTTAAGAAGACTGCTAACCTTGAGCTAAAGACTTCAGGGATTTCAGGATATCCTGTAGTAACTTGTTTCAGTTAATTATTAATTACTCATTTAAACAAAAAAAAAGTGTGGAGGAACAGAACTGTTTCTTAAAATAGGAAGCACATGTCTGATTGTGTTGCTGTGTTGGAGCCAATTGCTGTAACTTGTGACTGGTAACCAGCTCAGGCCTCTATCTTACTGCAGGTAGGGTGCTAAATGAATTAGACCTGCAAAAGGATTCCTTCAGTACTTTGTAGGGTACTGTTAAAAGATTTAGTATTGTAAGTCTACTGAGGCTATAAATAAAGGCAGATCTGAACAATTTGAAATGTAACCCTTCTTGTAGTCTCATCTATCTTAACATGCAGAGCCAGGTAAAATGACAATAACCTGTAATGATACCATCTAAGCATTAGAAGCAGAACACCTTGGATTTGTTAGGACTAAATTTAGGTGACTGTTTAATGAGAAAGGAGAAAATCATGGCCGTGTTCCTGCAAAAACACCGCAAAAGTAATAATTTTCCGTGAAGAAGTCACAAAGCACACTTTTAAATAGCCTTCATTAAGAATTTAGAAGCATATAAAGATAGAAAATCTCTTGATGTTAGGAGAGAATCCCTCAGAACAGTGGAGCAAGCAATATCATGCCCAGCTGTCCTCCAATAACATAAGTAAGAAGCTAATTAAGCAAGTAAAGATGATGAATGCTAGGACATAAAAGGGAATGTTTCCTGGGTGGTGACTCAAAAATTTGGAAAAGGCATGTTTTCCCTGCCCCACCTTTTCAAAATATGGTCCATGTATATAGATGATAAAAGCCAATCACTCTGTGAGGGTGTTGTG